CATTGTAATGAACATGCTCGTTTACTGTGTCGATATCATTCAGTATACACGTTAGTTGCAGGAGGAAAACACCTCAGCATTGTGCCGCAAGATATTAGAAATGAAAATATGCAATGGCATGCCAGCTGAGTTGCCGATAACAGATGAACATCGTTCCGGTGACCTAAGCGTTAGGTATTGTGCCGCAAAAAGTATTATACTAGGTATATGAATTGGTTGTAGAGGGGAAGGGAGAACGATACTCGAAATAAGAATGCCACTGACGTCGACTGCTAGCCATAACAACAAGTGTAGCCAGCAAAACATGTTCAGCCTCTTTCGGATCCCAGCCAGGGGGTCGTGAGGCACCAACCGAGGCCTACTTCGAATTAAGGACTTCATTCCTCTTTACCAAATCATAGATTGGCCATCTCTCTTCTTCTTCTATCCACAATCCCGGCTCACAAACAACACACGACGCGGGAGTCGGTGGGTTGACATGCGCAACGGGAGTTGGCGTGTAACGTTTATGTATAGTCCAAGCCACTAGTCCATAACAATGGTGCAGGGGAGAGTAAAGCAGATTGAGTGGAAGAAAGTACACCATAAAGAGCCGATTACCCCAAATGTGTCATGTAGACCTCGTAGTGCAAATCAAACGCGCAAATATGGTATGGATGAGCATTCGGCGCTTCGTCAAGTACAAGAGGACTCAAATGACGCGTCAAGGCTAACGAAGGACTTAGTATCGGTGACTTTCCCGATTTGGAAGCTAGTTTACGCCCCTTGCAATGAATGCCACAGCTACAACATTCCGAAAGTAAATCCGCTTCTCTCGCCTCCCAAGAGTAGTGAAAGAGCGTAACAGCTCGGATGCGGAGCAAATACCACGTTCGTTCGTCCCGAGTGCAACCACTGCCCTTAGATTGGTTTCTCAAGGATTGCTAACGAAGTACTATATCATTGTGCTTCTCAAACCTAATATATCCGCTTGATTAGCATTGTCATATCCCACATTGTGGTCATTAAGTATCGTTATATTCCATTTGGGCTGCTTACACAACCACGATTCCTCAGCATACTTTCCTTTCATCAGCAAATAGAAACGTCCCCCAAACCCGTGTCCCTGGGAATCACATACACTGAAAAGGAAGTGACCATGACATGTTTACTAGGCTAAGGTATCCATTTCTCACCTCTAACTTATCCTGTACCGTGGCTTTTACCTTATATACTAAGGCATGCATGTTGTAGCGAGGTTGGCTAGCAAAAATACTAGTGGGTAAACTGCACAGTGAATATTTCCTGATTAGTGTCAACGTCTCAGGTAGCTCACCTGTTGGTTGTTTTTCCGAGCTTGATTAAGAAATAGCATACGTTTCACCACCATGCGAGGTGGCATCTTCAGTGCAGTAATAGGCAGTGTGTATTGCTGCATAGTGGATTGTCAGTCCGTCATGCACGGGCAAGTGACTTTTGAAGGTGGCGATTTCGATTTGTGCCACGTGATCTCTGCCCATTTGCTTCCACGGCTGCACCAGGTCTTGCGATTCGCCGGAGATCTTTCTTTCGGAGTTGATGGTACACGGGGTCAATGTCGATGCGCATGTTGATCGAATTATTAGAGGAGTACCATGCTTCTAGGAACTCTCTTCTTTTCTGTGTTGTTGTTTGAGCTAAAATCACTGTTTGGTTCCAATTGAAGCTATGCCCCTCCTCATCTACATGCGCTGAGACAACAGACGATGCATAATGTTTTTACAAGCCCTCTGATGCTCTTGTATACTTGTGGATAATTTCGCAGGATTGAAACACACTGCAGCACAGTGGAAGCCAAACGGGAAGGAGAGAAACACCTATTCGATTCGTTCGAGCGCAATGGCTACCCACGCAGCTTCATCCGCAGATGTCTAAACCATAAAGTTATGAACACCGAGCCGATACCAAATGCAAGCAAGAGGGTCGTTTTGCCGTATATGAAGAACATATCTGAAATGACTGCCAGATTGCTCAAACAATACAACATCGTGGTCGCTCATAAGCCAACCGCTACTTTGCGAAGAATACTATCAAACCAAAAGGATATTAGGAATGCACAAGAACGAACAAACGTCGTGTATAAAATAAATTGCAATAATTGTGAAATGAACTATGTGAGGCAGACAGGAAGGAAATTATCCACAAGAATACAAGAACATCAGAGGGCTTGTAAAAAACATTATGCATCGTCTCTTGTCTCAGCGCATGTAGATGAGGAGGGGCATAGCTTCAATTGGGACCAAACAGTGATTTTAGCTCAAACAACAACACAGAAAGAAGAGAGTTCCTAGAAGCATGGTACTCCTCTAATAATTCGATCAACATGCGCATCGACATTGACCCCGTGTACCATCAACTCCGAAAGAAAGATCTCCGGCGAATCGCAAGACCTGGTTCAGCCGTGGAAGCAAATGGGCAGAGATCACGTGGCACAAATCGAAATCGCCACCTTCAAAAGTCACTTGCCCGTGCATGACGGACTGACAATCCACTATGCAGCAATACACACTGCCTATTACTGCACTGAAGATGCCACCTCGCATGGTGGTGAAACGTATGCTATTTCTTAATCAAGCTCGGAAAAACAATCAACAGGTGAGCAACCAAGCCGGGCTACCAGTGTTCCAAGTTGTCTCAGGTAGCATTCATGGCCCACTTCAGTTGGGATGAAACGAAAGATCAGGAGTGAACTGTTAGATTAATCAGGAAGAGAAATATTGTGGATTCCTGAAAAGTTAACCGGAACGCCATAGTAGACTGACCGGTAGCACTAATAACCCAGTAACATTTACCGTCAGTTGGCTGAAATAAACTGTGGGCCGCCGCACCAGATTTTACCTCAGATACAGCCACTGTGATCGAAGTGTTGCACTAGTTGTGATCAACTTCACTTTTTGCGGTTTGTAACTATCATGATTATACGTATTCCATTCCATTGTATTTTAGCCGCATTTTAGTGGCAGCATGATTCCTGCTATCGTTAGACTGCATCTCAAATGGGTCGGCTTTGTCGCTTTACGACCTAATGAATACAGCATTGAGCACATCAGTAAGCCTTTCTGCTGAAGCCGTTTTGTATCTGAGATACCTCCCGAGAAGTCGTCGGCAACCAGAGATTGGGTAAAGAAGAGAATGAATGCGGGATACGGTAGTATCTTGTAAGGATTAGGTGTGTCCGGAAGCTGGCGGCCCGCGCAAGTACGAAGATTCAGGGGGCAGCGATGCTGGTCAATTTCATATTGAACCTATCTCGGCATGTGTTCCTTTATTTGGAAAGTCAAATACCGATTAGTCCTGCCTATGTAACTGAACCCGTAGTCACACACGAATTGAGATATGCAGTGTGAATTGGTCCCAATCAGCTGAGGTTTCTTCGTTGGAGGATCAAGTAAAATACGAGTTCGGTTAATGGCCACAATTTTGGCAACATGGTGGGTTCTCTGCATAACAGAAGTAAAAGGTTTGGTGGCCTCCATTGTAGGGCCGTAACCACTAAAATGCAACTGGATATTGACGTGTTTCTTGGCTGCTGTATGCACTAATTCCATTGGGCCTCGCTGTTGTCTGCGCTCCTTTTTGAATCTGCGAAGATAACCGTTCGCCATGAGCGTAGCTGTGCTTATCTCTATCTCTTTAGCGAGACAGTCCGCCGAGCAAGGTTGTCTGGCGCGACTATTTACTTTTCACAACTGTCCGTTTGTATCCAACTGGGGTGAAGCTGGTGTAGGTATTGGCCAGACAATGTAGCTTTTTTGTAGACGAACGTCCTAATTAGTCCGTCACCCCTGCGACTGATAAGGATGTCTAAGTATGCTAGACCGTTCTTCGGCTCCACCTTACAGGTGACCCGTAAGTTAATAGGTGCGCGGTTAAACTGCTTCACCAACTGAACGCTCTGCTGTTTCGGTGAACAAAAGGCCAGTATGTCATCCGTATAGCCACGATAGTATGGCAGCTTGGCTATTTTGCGAATATGCCTCTTTCTATCATCAAGCTAAAGAATTGGGCGAGTACAGTACAAATGTTTTGTCTGAATGTCTCTATCCAACAAAGACCGTTTACATAGTAACTGTTGTGAACACTTATAACCGATGAAAAACTACAAAAGTCTGTGTCAGTTTACACCCGAGCATGTTGATATTACAATTATGTTCCTTAAATCTGACATGGATGTAGCAGTGGTACGTAGCTTAGTCTCCGTATTTTATAGGTAATTCATCAGGCAGATTACTTCCGCGTAGTTGAATGCTATACGATGAATAGTCAATAAGTCGAAGGAATCTGCAACGCCAAATGCATTTCCAAATAAATGTACTTTACAAATGAAAGCTAACGTGATGTTTTTTGAGACAAAGTACAGAAGGCACCAATCATCCTAACGACGCGAACAAGGTGGTACCGCATTCATATTGAATGAACATGGCGCGAATATAAGCACTGCAAAGGATGAACCAAATTATGTTTGTGCCTATCTCATTGCGTATTATTGCGTACCTCAATGAAGATTCCGTGTACACCGGCTAAAATATGTCCACTACGAATCTCAAGTACAGTAGTTGTCGCATTAACAACATTTAGTGAATGGAGTAGTAGTCCCTGATCGATTAAGTATATGTTGCTGGGTAAAGCGGATCGCAGAAACTCCAACCTTGTTTTCATTTTGAGGATGTAAAATATGTATTTCGTTGGACTTGGCTGACTTAGACCGGTTAGTCTTCTACTAATGCATGCTTCTGAAAGTTCACAAAAATGAAGTTATCGTGAAATCATACTTGAAATCACCGGTTAGCGTTCAGCCCAGTATATTTGAGACCAGTGTGATAATCGCAAAGATGTCTCAGCCCAGCGTTTGAGTTCATGAAATTTCTCATCCTGTGCACTGTTTTGTTAGTCAGCATCAATTTAGGAGCCAACTTACCGATGAACGTTGTCCCGTTTCTTAGTCAATCGGTGACTATGTTTACTCTGTCTTTCACTGGCAGCTGCTCGGACTAACAATTGTGCTGACTGCGACCAACTTCGCGGTCCTCCAAGAGGCTAAAGTAAGTCAGCTGTGTTTAAAAATTACCTATCGATTCTAGTTCATCCCACCGCAGGTTGTTGTATTATATTAGTAATTTAGATCGTTTTAACCAGCTAATGCACTGCTCTGGAAATAATAAGTAACTGATTGGAGGGTCAATTTTGGACTACATGTTGTGTGACTGGATTATGGTATGCACTCTCAATGTAGACCGCGATTCACATTGAAGTGAACCTGGTTCTAGGGATTGAGCAAATTTGTAAGTGACCGTTGAAAGAATATTACAGCGCTACAAGACGGCGGAGTGGGCTAAACGCCCCAGGTGTCGTCTAGTTATAGCTGCTTTAAAAGTTTGAAAGCACTAGATGAAAGATACATTTGATGACTAATGTGGGTCACCAACACAGTAAACAAGACTAGCGTTCAATGAATACGTAACGGGAAGTTAGGAACGGTTAAAACTGTTGAATGAAATATTTGCATGTTACCCCTCAGCCATTTAAAACTAACATTTTAAAATGAATAATGAACTTACCTACACACTCGGCACGCTGCGCTCAGTGTATTCGTAAACATTGGGTAAATAATGGAGCGAGTGAAGTCCGTGGTCCTATGCGCATTTTATTACAACCCACCTGAAATCCGCATACTAGCAAGCCAGTGAACCCCCAAAAAATATTGTGCGGATACATCCACAAGTCTGGAGAACGGCTTGCTTAGATCCTCCGGAAAACTGACCGTACACCCCGCTTTATCGCTGGGGAGGTAGCTAGCCTACGTTACTTATCAGACTATGCAACTATTTTTATATGGTCGCACCAGATAGACTTAATCGCGATGGTTCACACCGACTCCTGAATGAGAGGCCAAGGTAATGAGAGAACACGCGACACTGGCGAGTAGTATGTGTACTGAGTACACAAAACCCCCAAGGGCCAAAAATGCCAATAGCACAAACTAAGCGTGTCCGTGATAGTCGAAACATGTGAAATTTTATAGGAAGTGTGTTTTTTCACAAGTGTTGCATGTTGTGTGAGCCAAGGGACAATAACAATGTTCTGTTGCATTAAACAAACACACTGTTCTGGTTTTTGGCGAAAAACATGCCAACGCTGTGTAATTCACATGTAGTCATTTGGTGCACACAAATTGAAACATGCTTGGTTCCGCGTTCTGATTGCAAGTAACAAGTTCGGACACACTTCTGGGGCACAATCTGGCTTCGACCATCCAAACCCCTGGATCTTATTCGGGTTAGGTTTTGGTTCTAACCCTAACATATTTAAGTAACAAATGTAATAAAATATGAAAGTAACACCTGTATTTTTTTATTTGGACTTCTCATTGCGATTACAACGGAATGAGTATAGATGCCTCTTTCTATGACGTAACATTTACTAAAGCGTTGCTGGTTTCTCAAGAATTTGGCTAACAGTGAGTAATGATGTATCAAAGATAATGAACCAGCGTCTGGAAAGTTCAGTAAAGTGATCCGAGTGACTGTTACGGAACAAAATTCAAAGTGATAAGAAAAAACCCAGAATATGATGAACTCACTAACCAATTCGAATGAACACGGATGCTGAGTTCCTCAACGCCAATTTATGGACAAGGCTGGTGTTTCGGGTTGCTTCCTCTACCTACGGACACGAATTAGATTGTGCAGTGCGAATGGCATAGCGTAACACAATCGTCTTACGAAAAGCGGCGATGTAGGAGTCCGCGTTTCATGTCCGGAATGAAGGCCCGTGGCCTTAAAATATCCCAAGCAAGTCTTGTAATCCCTGGCCGCGGATTCGAGCTTACGTGGAGGACCGGGTTACTCTAGTAGTATCCTCAGCACCCGCACAACTGTTGGTGGTTGCGTGAAAGCAGAGCGTTCGTAGTGTGTAGTGGGGTACTACTGTTACTTCTGCTCATGTCCTGGATGCTCACAGGGAGGAGATATTTCGCTGACAATCCAGTATTCTGCACTGAGTGGCCAGTGGGATCTGGTGGCTCCTCAGGTTCCTGTTGTGGCGAAGTTGCAAGAATTCGCAGTAAACATGTTGCGTTTCGTCAGTTTTCAGTATGCATGATTTGATGGCCTCGTTGATGCACATGCCACTGTAAATTCAAACCGTTTTCAGTTTGGGTTAAGGACGCTGACTAAAAACTAGTGTTGTTATCGATCGCTGAAAAAGGTGCGGCTTAAAATGCGTCAACCTGGTGTTCTTACCAACCCCACCACAGTTGGATGGTGCTGTCCAAACTGTGGATTCACATAAGTGTTCAGCATTTGCAAACTTCCCGAATGCCCCCTCTGAGTGACTTTTATCTATACTTTTCAAATTTTCTCAAATAGCATAGCTCATCCTACATACTCACTACAAAATCGCTCTCCTGAGAACCACGCTATAAAGTTACTTCCGAACTCTACACCCGCGTGTGCAATGACGGCATACGCTAAAATGTCGCACTTTGATTCGTTGAAATGAGGCAACTTCTGTGATGACTATCGTGTATGACAGTGTATAGGCCGAGCGGTATATAAGCCAACCGTAGGACTTTGCAACCTTAAATTTGTCTAAAATCCTAAGTCCGTATATTAGCCGACCTCCAACAAAATCAGAAGAAAGGGAAACCAAAGTGTTTCTCATGATTTTTACTTAATCACTACCTACTGTCACTTAAGTGTGTTCAAGCGAAAGCTGCTCTGCTGCTGGTCAGTTCTGGCGACACCATGTGTTATGATCGCATTTGAACAGTGATGAACAATGATATATCACGGGATAAAAGCATGTGCATGACACGTCCCGTAAGGTGGATGGGATGAATACGATGAAATCAAAATATATGTGGGTCATCTACCGAACGTCTGCCGAGATAAATGCTTTGATAAATTACATCAGTGTAAAATTTAAAATATCGAGCGTAAGCGTTCCAAAGTACACCGGGGTGCAGTGGTCGTTGATACAAAGCGTGAGAAAAGTAAAATATGGTCGCTCACTTGGGCCCATTTGCTACATAAATCCTGTATAAAAGAATGTTTAGCGCAATCCAAAATAGAGTAGTTTAGGCAATAAAAGGCTGGGAGCTAAGAGCAACAGCTATTCGTTTTTTGAATAAGTCCAAGGTATGGAAGGATACAAGTGAGTCTGGCAACGCGTTCCAGTGTTGGCAAACCCGAAGGAAAAGTAAAGTCTACATTCTAGATGGCTATATTGTTCCTCCGATTTTAAGCAGTTACCCCTGAGCTGCGAGTTGTGGCTAAGTTTCAGCAAATGGTGGCATACGTGGTTGGAGTCACTCAATATCTGATACTCTAATAAGAGATCGCCGCGCAGCCTTCGATAGCGTCCGTTGAATATTCCCAGCAACTTCAACCTTCGGTGGTAAGAGAGTGATAGCGCAGTCCCTTTACATTCTTTGTTTCTCTTCGTTGTGTTTTCTCTAACACTTCCAAGTCGCACTTCAACCAAGGTTGCCAAGCTTGGATAGCGTATTCAACGTGCGGGCGCACGTAGGAATTGTGCATCAATGGGAAGATTGATGGGTCAAATCTCCCGAATGCTCTTCGCAGCATGCCGACATGCTGGTTGCCACTTTTCGCGGGTACCTCAGCCTGTATTGGACAGTTGAGATCCCTCTATACGATCACACCCAGGTCACGTTCCTGGGAGCTATTCTACAATCCATTTGTCCCAAGTAAATGGGTGTAGTTATGTCTATGGCTTAATTGTACAACGCGACATTTGTCTACGTTGAATGGTAGGGCGTTTTGAACTGACCAGTTCGACACTGTGTTAAGATCGCACTGGAGCCCTCCGTGGTTTTCCAGTCTTCTAATCCTTCGTCAAATCTTGATATCATCCGCGAAAAATAGCAAATCGGAAGTAATTGATCATGCCAAATTGTTAATGAGTACCAAGAATAGACGAGGTCCAAGAACCGAGAATTGTGGTACACCACACACCACGTCGATTGCATCAGACAATGATTCTCGAAATCTCACCGCTAGCCGTCGTTCTTGTAGAAAATTGCAGATCCAACTCAGGATTGGGTCCCCAATGCCGTAATTCCGAAGAAGAATTCGAGGGTCTAAGCGATCAAACGCTTTTGAAAAGTACAGGCAGATGACATCGACTCCTGCTGCATCATCAACTGCAGCAGTCCAGCTATTACGTGCAATTAATAGGTTAGTATTACTTGAACGCTTTTGGTACAAGCAACGATGCTCTGGGGCTATTAAATTGTGACCTTCCAGATACTGTACCAGCGCATCTGCTATGAATGAGTTTAGCACTTTGGATAGTACAGGAAGTAGTGTTCTTGGACGGTAGTTGTTAGGGTCCATGCGGCTACCTCCTTTATGGATAGGAGTGATGACCCCTCGCTTCCATACTACTAGGATATGGTTCTCTTCCAGTTATCGCTGATAGCAAACAGCCAGTGGTTCTGTTAGATCACTAGCCACCACCTGCAGAGCCTTTGGTTGGATGCTGTCGACTCCAGGAGAACTGTGGATACGCGAAGATAACAACTTCTTCAACACAGCTTTCGCAGTGAAGGTGATGTTGTCTAAACCAGATGGTGGAGTATTAGAAACGAGGAGAATATTTGGGCTCGTTACCTGCTAGAAAGTTTGGGAGTGATGAAGCCGTAGGAGATCAGCTGCTTCCATTGCTGATCGCGTGCACCCATCAGCCGTTACTATTGCTGGAACCCCCCGCTTCACCTTTCGAAGACCGTTAACGTGCCTGTAAAGAAGTTTGTGATTGGTGCATAATCGCTTCATTAACTCCTGCTAGTACGTGACTTTGTCTTCGTGCATCAGTTTCACACAGAATTTACCATGTGTCACGTATGCAGTCCAGGTTTCGGCATTCGAGCACTCCTGGTGATCTCGCCATGCCAAATCCATCCGAAACATACATTTACGTGTTCTGCTCCTCAGAGATGCGTTATGCCTGTTGTTGGGTTGGAAGGAGATCTGTTCCGAGGCGTGCGCTACCAGTGTGCTAAACGTCATTGTAAAGG